GCGCGCCCCCACCCTTCCCAAGACCCCCCTGCTCCCCACGAGCCAGACGGGCCCCCCGGAGACAGGGCGTCCCCAGGCCACGGCCGTCCCGCGGGGCGGAACCGTTCCTGGGCCGCCCAGCCTGGGCCTGCGGAGCCGTGGGGCCGGCCCAGCCTCGCACACCGGAGCAGGCGCATCTCTGGGTCATTAGCCCCTGGCCAGGCCGCCCGCCATGTGAGGTAAGTGACGAGCCCCCTCCCCGAATACAGAGACTAGAACGGAGCCGGCGCCCGGCTTGCGCCAGTCCAGGCGGCCCGGAGCAGAGCCTCCGAGTGATCAGCGCGTCCGCGCCCCGGGGGTGCGCTCCCCAGCAAGCAGGACGCGTTCGACCCGACCCGATCACTCGCACTGAGAAACCCGCACAGTTTTCAAACAGAAACACACCCGGAAACCACAGGGAGACCCGGAGCCTCCCTGACCTGCCCCTGCGGACGGTGCTAAGCAGCGACCTTGTCGCTACAGGTGCCGGTGGCTGGAGCGGTGGTGCACAGGCAGAGACGGGCCTCCCCAGCAAGCAGGACGCGTTCGACCCGACCCGATCACTCGCACTGAGAAACCCGCACAGTTTTCAAACAGAAACACACCCGGAAACCACAGGGAGACCCGGAGCCTCCCTGACCTGCCCCTGCGGACGGTGCTAAGCAGCGACCTTGTCGCTACAGGTGCCGGTGGCTGGAGCGGTGGTGCACAGGCAGAGACGGGCGCTCGTCCTGCACCCAGCCACGCAGGAGCTGGCAGGATCCGGGCCCACGGGATGGGCCCTGGAGTGCCGGTCCCCTGGAGTGCCTGGCTGCCGCGCTCTGAGCGTCGACGTGTCTCGTTGCAGAAAGGGGCAGGGTTTCACCTGGATTTATTCTGCGTTTCCCTCCTGATGATCCTCACCTCTGTGACGGGCCTCCCCTGGTACGTGTCCGCCACCGTCATCTCGCTGGCCCACATGGACAGCCTGAAAAAGGAGAGCACCACGTCCGCGCCGGGGGAGCCGCCCAGGTTCCTGGGAATCAGGTACCGTGCCCTGCGCCCAGCGGCCGAGCCTCTGGGACCG